TCATCTTGCTTAGACGAAATGAAAATATATCTATTTATTTTAAGATGTTAGCCAAGGGGAGTTAAAACAATTTTAAGTATATTTTGCCAACAACTTGTTCCAACTACCCTTCCTGTACATTTTTGTGCATGTGTTTCAAAATTCAACGTAGGAATGCTATTCCTGGTCCCTAATACTCTACCTACTACTCTGAAGACTCATTCAGTAAACATGGCCTCTAACCACCATGACTCTCTAAGCCTGAGTTCTGGCTACGGCCTCTAGATATGGTTATATGGCCCTTGGCCCATAAGCTCCAACATCTAAGGGGAATAATGTTTCTTCCTTGTAGTTACTACAGGGGAGAAACAGCCATCCTTCTGTCCCTATGCCTTTCCTCACAATTTTTTGCTGTTTGGCACAACTAACCTCCAATCCCATCACCATAGTATCTCTCTCAAGAAGCCCAACTTACTGTCTCATTTTCCCCAAGGCGGTAGGGGCAGGACACCCCACCATCACCCATTCTTTAGAGGAACTCTATCTTATTCAGATTGTTCTTCATGCCCCACTTCCTCAACTCTTTTTTCCTATGGTGAAAATATGATCAAGTTATGGTCCTAGTGGTGGGTCAGTTGTTGGAGTTAGTAGGACCCAGACTTTACAGGCAAATTACCATTTTGGGGAGAGTTATTCAAGTCAAAGGAACACCTACATTTGGATTTGTTGTATGCAAGGAATTGGGGCATCAAGGTGGTAGTCACTGTGTGACTCTGGGCAAGTCACTTAACCCCATTTGCCTCAGTTTCCTCATCTGTAAAATGAACTGGAGAAGGAAATGACAAAGCACTCCAGTATCTTTGCCAAGAAAACCCCAAATGGGGTCATGAAGAATTGGACCTAATGGAAAAAAAGACCAAACAACAACAAATGCAGAGAATTAAAACTTTTTCTAGAAAGAGGTATACAAAGGAAAAAACCTTTCACCTAAACAAGCCTCAGTTCTCAATGCTTCATGGCAATGAATTTACCTTGCGAAGGGGCTTTTGATTCACAGAATTACAAAAACTGAGTTGGAATGGACCTCAGAGGCCACCTAACTAAGCCAATGCATACTTGAACCCAATCCCCTGTACAGAATTTTCCCATGTAATCATCCCAGTCTTTGTTTTAAAGACTACAGAGAGGGGGGAACCCATTTCCTCCAAAGGCACCTCATTCTACTTTTGTATCATTCTAATGGTGAGGAAGTTTTTCCTGGTTTCAAGTCTACATTTGCCTTTTTGTACTTTTCACACATAGTTCTACTTCTGCCCTCAGGGCCCAAGAAAAATAAGTCTAATCCATCTTCCAAATGATAAGCAATCTTTAAATACTAGAAGACTGCTATCATGTCCCACTAACCCTTCTACTCTCCATGCTAACCCTAAACTCAAAGCATAAATATTTGTCTTAAGTCTAAAATTGAGTTTTGATTTGGATCTCAAAGTAGAGAATATATCTTAGTTTTGGCCACATAGCTAAGACACCATCAGGGATTTTGTCACAGATAATACAATTACAAAGTATGGAAAGAGGACATTAAGAAGAATAACAACAGCAAATCTCAAACTATATAGTCTTTGAAAACTAATTCTGTATGATGAAAAGATTTCTGGGAGAAAGGAGTGGTATACACAAAGCAATTATGAAACACAAGACTATATTTAATTAGTCAAAGTTGGAAGGGCAGAGAATCAAGGCAGCTACGTTAGGATTTCCACACTTCATGTATTCAAAACCAGTTTCTAACACTTAATAGCTGTATAAATAGGAGAAAGTCACTTAACTTTTCTGAATTTTCTAATCCATGAAATGATTAATTTAATAATATGCCCTGCTTCATAGGGTTGTTGTAAGGTTCAAATGCTCTGCAAACCTGGAAGATTTCTATGTTGGTGATTGTGATTGTGTGGGTGAATTATAGGCCTCCAAAATAGAAGACACCTTAGAGATCACCAGCTCTGCTTTCTCATTTCACCAATGAGAAAACTGAGAACTATACAGGTTGAAGGGCTTTCTCAAGATCACCCAATATTTGCACAGTAGGGATTGGCCCAAAAGTGCAAAAGTACTCAGAGAACTTTGAACCCAAGTACTCAAGGTATAATAGAGTTGGAGTCCTATTCTGCCACTTTCTGTATGACCTTGGATTTAAACCTTCTGTTCTCACTTTCTGTATCTACAAAATAAGTGGATTGGACTAGACCAGGGATGGGGAACCTACAATCTTGAGGCCACACGTGGTCCTCTAGGTCCTTGGGTGAGGCCTTTTGACAGAGTCCAAGTTTTACAGAGCAAATCCTTTTATTAAGGGGATTTGTTCTGTGAAGTTTGGATTCAGTCAAAGGGCCGCACTTGAGGACCTAAAGAACCACATACAGGTTTCTTACCGCTGGACTACATTGAGGTCAAAGTTTCCTTCCAGTTCTAAATTTTTGATTCTATGATCCTCTGATTCCAAAGTAATACTTCTTTCCACATCATGTGATAGCTGTTCTCCCAGGAGGTCCTATCCAGAACTAGAAGTACTCCTAGGGCACTTAGGCATCAAGTCTTGGAGGCATCTTTTCTTGTAGTTTAGTTGCCCAGAAGCTACAGCAAAGGTAGGAGGGGAAAAGGTATAACTTTGATGAAGCAGAGAAGGGAGCTATCAAGAAGAGCATCTGTACCCAGATGCGAAGAGAGCATTTTGTTAACATTTTCTTAAAATTAAAATATTCACTTTAAATATAATTCAAATAATGTGGAGTTTATAATATTACAGGAATGTTTAAATTTTGAACTTTTATTTATATTACTAAGTTTAGAACTTTTAACAATACAAAAAAAAAGTAGTATCATGCTCTCTTTTTAGCTCGTAATAGTCAAAACCTCAGAGACCACAAGTCTGAATGAATGGGAATAATGCACAATAAGGCTAGAAAGGAGGGTTGGGTCTAGGTTTGAAGTGCTTTAAAAGCTAAATGCATGCACTTATATTTGCTCTCAGGTCCAAGAGGGAGCTACTGCAGTTTATTGATTAAGGGAATGATATGTTCTGTTCTTTGGGAAAAATCATTTTGGTGGATGTGTGGAGCTGGATTAAAGTGGGGAGAGATCTGAGGCAGGGAGACCAATTAGAAGATTGTAATAGTTCAGGCAAAAGATAATGAGAATATGAACTAGGGTGATGGCTATGTGGGTGGAAAGAAAGGGTTATATGTCAATGGAAATATGGTGGTGCCCTCGAAAGTAATAATGAAGTTTAGAAAAGTGAAAGTAATAATGAAATTCAGAAAAGTTTTGAGGGAATGATACCAAGTTCTTTTTTTAAATGTGCTGAGTTTGAAGTACCTATGAAATATCCATTTCAAAATGTCTAGTGGGCAGTTGGTGGTATAGAAATAGAGCTTAGGAGAGAAACTGTATATGTGTATGTATATGTATGTATATGTGTATAAGTGTGTGTGTGTGTACATACCCATACATATGTATATCCCAGTATATGTCATCGTCAAAGAATGGACTAAATCCATAGGAGTTGATGAGGTTACCAAGTGAAATAGTATAGAGAAATAATAAAAAGGAATCAAGCTAGAGCCCTAGGGCACAGCCCTAATTAGGCAGTGTGATAAATATGATGATCAAAGAAACTGAGGAAGAGGAGTCAAACAGTTAAGAGGAGAACCAAGAGTAAGCAGTCTTGAAAATATAGAAAAGTATCCAGGAAGAGAGTGGTCATCGGTGGCTGAGAGGTCAGGAGGAATTGAGAATTGAGGAAAAAAAGCCATTGGATTTGGCAACCAAGAGACCTCTGGTACCTTTGAAGTGAGAACTTTCAGTTGAGTGATGAACTCAGAAGCCAGATTGCATAGTGTGGATAAGTGAGAGGAGAGGAAGAAAAGAAAGCAAAGTGTACACAATTTTTGCTCTAGGAGTTTGAGAAAGGAGGGAAACCGAGTGAACACTAGTTTGAGGGGATGGTAGGGACTATCTTTTCAAGAATGATGAAGGAAGATTGGTGTGTCTATAGGCATGAGGAAACCAACAAACAGAGATGGAAGAGAGGGGGGATGATTGTGAGGGCACACTGTTGGAGTATATGGAAGTTTATGTCAATTAAGTGAGGGAAAGACAATCATCCATATGTTTTCAAATAGATAAGTTAAAAATATAAATAAAACCTCATTATTCAGAAGCCCTCTGATTTAGAATTTTGTCTATCTAGGCTAGGTCTATCTTCTACAAAGTATTTGCTAATATTTGTATTTGCTAGTATTTGATCTATCTTCTACAAAGTATTTGCTAAGCAAATTAATGTAAAAAAAGATTTGAGATGAAAATATTTACCCTAAGAAAAATTACTTTTAAATATTTTAATTGTATTTATTCAATTCTGGGGAAAAAATATTAAATGCCCAGGGTACTGTGCGAAGCACTGGGAATACAAAGATTAAAGAAAAAAATAGACAGCCTCTGACCTCAAAGAGATCAGAGTAGGAATATACATACACGTATATATACATCAAGCATGGGAGAGAATGTGCACAAACATATGGACTGGAAGAGAGCAGGAGGAAATGACAAGGAGTCTAGTTTGGGTAATACAGAGTGTGGGAAAAGGGGAGCTTTCCAAAATAAGGCTGAAAGGGAGATGTGTACACAATTCATTTCTGGGGACAAATTGGTCTTATTTAGTAAAGCACGTACAGTGGAACCTCTTTGATAACAATGGGTGATTTGAGTTATTTTATTTTTTGGAAAACTGTATTTTTAAGAAGTCCTATACTTGAAATTATCTTCCCAGTTGTCAAGTTTTACACTTTACCTTTACCTTTACCTTTAATTAATTCAAAACAGTGAAAGGGTTTGACCATGTATTTTTTAAAAAAAGATTTTCAGGTAAACTGAGCCTGTAAGTAGAATTTCTATAAAATAGGAATGTTCTACTGCATCCATTTTATTTTTAAAGAGTAAAAGATTCAAGAAGCTGAATCCAAGACAATTTAAATTATCTTTATTTTGGCTGCATAGTTACATTTCACTAAATTAGATAATTTTATTCATTTCCAATTAAAGTCTCATAGTTTGCCATGTAAACAGCGCATTCACTATTAAACTGCTGTACAAGAACATTATAAAATACAGAATCAAAATAGAAAGAATCCACTTTACAATATTCCAGATAATTGCACTAAAACAACATTGATTAAAAACGCTAGTGGGTTCACTGGCAAAACACTCACTCCCCATTCTAATGAAGGATGGTACAAAATGGCACAAATGAGAAAGAGCAAAACAACGAAAGCAGAGCGAACTAGCCAGTGTGTTAGTTAACAATGGCAATTTTGATCCATGAACATGTCACTTCCCAGTCAGATATTAGGGAAGATAAGTAAGAACCCACCAAAAAACTTGGGTTTCTGTTTTCAGTGTAGTCATTCAGCAATCAGTTAAGCTCTCTGGAATCCAAAAATTATCAGCTATAGCATTTATTTTTTTTCTCCAAATGCACAGGAAACATTTACAAAGACTATACTTCTCCAAATAGAGTTAAGAGCTAAATACAGCCTATGCAATCACCACCACTCTTCACTGTAGAGGTATTTACCAGGCACGCTACAGCAAATGCTTAATAAATACATATCAGAAGTATGAGACAAATTAAGAACGTGTCCACATGTTGTTTTTCTGGGTTGATATAGGTATCAAAAGAATGAATCATCTAAGAAAGAGTATGTTGGCATCTTTGTCAAGAACTAAGCAGCACACAGATCTGTTAACCAATTTTTTAAGTTGTTTGACAATATTTCCTCCACTAGCCCAAACTGAAATCAGGTATTTTCCTTGGGCCAACAGAAAGTTAGGTACAAGTATGTACAGCAATAGAGATGCTCACATGACACAAGAGTTTTTAATAACAAAATCTAAGTTAACAGTCAACAACTTAAATAATGGGCTGATAGCAAATTTGAATATGGACAAAAATTCAGTAATTGCTGAATTGAAGAATATGACAACAGCAGAAAAATTTAGAAAACATTTCAATATTAGAAAATATTGTATTTAAACCAAAGGAAACTTTCCCTCAAATAAAAATGACAAGATATGGAAACCATAATTTACTCAACAGCTATACAGTGATAAAAACTACAATTAGAGGAAAATTCCTACATAATTTAGGTGATGTAGTGCAACACTGCCCTCCTTTTAATTTCTTTGCAATCCCCAAATGATGACTCCAAGAATCACCAATCCAATGACAACAATAAAAATGATGATGCACAGAGTTTTTCGGGACTTGCGCTGCAGGTAGAAAAAACAAAAAAACAAGAGATGAAAACAGTCATCTTGTGGTTTATCTTTGTAAACCTAGCATATAGTCCTTATATTATAACTAATAGAAAAATAAATCTCAGATGTCAATCCTGTCTTATTTGGAGAAAAGACAACCATTAGTTTTTATATTTTCAAACATGATTTTGAACAATTCCCTTCAATTTCTGTATTGCTATTGTTTTATCAAAAAAACTATGCTTCAATTAAAATTATAATCAAGTTTCTAATTCTTAACTGCAACAATTTCTTCAAATTTAAGGAACTTCTAGGTAGAGACTGGACTGAGTGCACTTAAAATTAAAAAAAAAAGTTTAGAAAACATTTGAATGGAGTCCATAAACTTCATAATTGTGTTGAAATTATTTGCATTCCTAAATTTGGGTATTGGTTAAAAAGCATAGGAATAGATATTTGCTTAATGTGATAAATATTAGACTCCAAACTAATGTTACCTGTAATGTAAAAATACTAGACACCCTCCCAAATCAGGCATAGAAAGGAAGAGTGCCCATCATCGGTATTATATTTGCTCTGGTTATAGAAATATTAACTATAGTGATAAGATAAAAGGAATAAGCATAGGTAAAGAAGAAACAAAATTACTGTCATCTGAAACACAATAGTGTACTTAGAGAATTCTAGACAAGGAATAAAAAAAATAACTGAAATAATAACTTTAGTAAAGTAGTAGTAGTAAAGTACTAAAGTAGTAAAGTAGTAGGACATGAGTCCCATAAAAATCAGTAGCTTTTTTGTATATTGAATATTTTTGTATATTGTATATTTCTAACAAAATGCAGGAAGGGGAAATAGAAACAGAAATACAAAAGAAATTCTATTCAAAGTAACTACAAAATCTATAAAATACCTAGGAAATCAATCTATCAAGGCAGATTTAGGACTTACATGAATAGAACTACAAAAATTATAGAAGTAAAGGAAGACTTAAAAGGAAAATGTTAACTGCATGGCTAGACCATGTCAATATAATAAAAGATAATGAAGTTATTTAAGTTACAGATTTAGGGTTGTGCCAATAAGGAGTTACTTTTGAGAACTAGATATAATAACCAAATTCATCTGAAAGAAAAAAAGATCAAGAATCTCTAGGGGAAGAAATGGAAAAAAAAAAGTAGAAATGATGGGGACCTAATAAGATCAGATTTCAAACTATATTTTAATGAAATAATCATGAGAATTAGTTGATACTGGCTCAAAAATAGAAAAGTAGATCAATGGAACAGATTAGGCATGTAAAGGAAAGCAACATTGAAAATCTTCAAAATTCCAATCAATGTAGTGAGTAATCTTAACTTTATTTCCGAAGATGCGTAATGAAGCATTTCTCCCATCTTTTGGCAGAGATGTGATAGACTAAGAGTACAGAGCAAGACATACAGTTTTAGACATGGCCAATTTGTCAGTGTGTTGCTTGACTATGCTTGTTACAAGAGAGGGTTTCTATTTGGGGTCAGGAAGTGGATTAGTAGGAAGTGATAGAGCTGCAGAGAAAAAAGATATCAATAAAATGTAAAAAAAATCATGGAAGAAAAAATTCAGAAGGTGACAAGATAATTTTATTACTGTCTCATTAAATGTAATGCATATTTTTATAAAAACTATGTATATAATAAAAGCTTATGGTTTCACGTACAATCAATTTTGTCCACCTTTGTATTTTGCTATGTTTCTGATAAGTTCATTTGAAAAAGGGAAAATAAAAAATTAAGTGTTGTCATTAAATACCATTATAAGATTTCTTGTTAAATTTTAAAATTTAATGTTCTTAAGAAATTACTTGGGGAAAAGTGCCTTTCCTTAAAAAATTAGCATTTCCAGAAAGGGCAGAGAGAAGAATGGAATGATAGAACCATAGTGAATCATGGGGACCCAGGGATCTGAATTCTGGCCCAAGAGCAAAGAACTATATTGTCAAAATTTATCATTTTTTTCCTAATGTAATTATAACATGTTTGTCAACATCCCTCCTATCAACAACATAAAAACTAAGTTAAAAGTTGCAACCCCAAAATAAAGTGTAAAACAAAAAATTCCTCGATGATACATCAGACAGAACAGGACATTATGGGGTTACCCTTTCCCATGTCCATGGGTTAGGAATTATGTCCCATTTCTTCAATCTGGACTCAAAAAACAGATTTTCACATTTCTTCTGTCTTTAAATATAACAATATGGAGAAGTCATTTTTATTATTTTTAAAAGGAATAGAAAGATTTGTTAACGTACTCCAAAGGGAATAGGGATGCCACAAAGGCCAATAATAAGCCGTTAAACTATAAGGACTTTCAGAATTCCAGAGACACAATTACTCCTCTCTTCTCCCCTGCCCCTAAAAGAACCACATGTATCAGATTCAGTGACATTTCCAAAATTCTGTTACGGTCTTTTATAAAATTCTATCACTTGCTAAGATCATAGAAATGATGAGCCTATGTGAATAAACACAAGTATTTTAGGAGATAATGGTCCTAAACTTGCCTTCATTTAGTCTCAGTTTCTCTCTTTCAGATCCTAAACTTGTACTAAGCTCCATGACTATGTGAACAGGTTTCTATTATATTCCTAATTTTAATAGGGAAAGTCCTTGGCTACTATTCTAATAAAGATTTACAGCAACTTCCAAATCATCTGATAATAACTTTCACAGCAGCATAGGTTTAAAATCAGGGATCTAATTAAAAAAAAGAAAGAAAGAAAAATAAGCCTTCTCCCTCCTAGGTTCAATCCACCATAGTCACCTCTCTAAAATCCTAAAAAAAAAAATTATCTTCCTGATAGAGAATATTTTCCTAATATTTTCCACCTAAAGAATTATTTTTACTTGAGGGCAATAGAGTATGTTTGTTTGTTTTTAAATTAAAGGACTGTTAGCTTGAGCCCTAGGTCTTTGAGTGAGGCATAGTACCAGATGCAGAATCTTAAATGAGAAAACCTCCAATCAAACAAGTATTGCCTTCTCTCCAGCTACTTTTTATAATTCTTTAGGACCAAATCTCTCAGGTTACAAAACAGCTCTTTACATATGTATGGACAGAATTCAAGTCCCTAAATTCCAACGTTTCATGAAGTTCTATTCTTCCACCTTTGATTACACCCTCTCAGGGACTCTAGAATCAACATAACAGTAATTTTTTTAAGGGGGAGGGGGTGTTAAAGATGAACTAATAAAATATCCACCATTCACTGACCAAACTAATAATACTTGTTTGGGTACTGCAGAATTTACCTACCCATCTGTCTGCCAGTATGCTTTCTGAATAATCTAGAGGAATAACTCTAGGACAGAGAATGACATTATCTCTTTGGTCCCTCAGGCTATTAAATAACACAGTGAGGGTCACTATCAGGCCCAAGGAAACAGACAAAAAAGGAGGTAGAGCAAAAGTAAATGTAGAAAGAAGGAAGGGGAGAGAAAGGAAAGTGGAGAAAGAGAAATGAAGGTGGTTTATTGACAGGGAATAGTGGAGTGCCACCTGTATTTGCTATAGTTAAATGAGCTACCCTTGCCTTAAGTTACGAAGGCAATTCAGCTTTGTATTTCAATCAGTCTCCTACTGTTAATAACTATGCCTACAGTTTGCAGGCATGCTGATGGCATGAAAAGAAATGAGTTAGGAAACTGACCAGTCCTTTTTCCAGGCTCTTTTCTATTCCATTAAACTCTAAATCTCCAAAAAAAAACCCAAAAAACAAAAAACCCTTCTTTAAGATTTTTGCTTTAAAAAAAAAAGGAAACAAAAAATATAATTAGAAAGGTTAATATTGGAAATGATAACAGATAGAGATATGTGAATTTGCATCATTACCTGATAATCCGCAGCCCTTGATAGCTGCTGGTTTGCCTGCTGGATATGTACCTCAGCATTTTCTACATTGGCTTCTATGCTGTCTTTAGAAAAACACAGACATGTATATATTAATTATGCTCTCCAAATGTATATTTTCCAATTCTAGAGTGGCCCCAAGCATTCCTCTTCACTCAACCAAGATCACTGAGATCTTTGATTTTCAAAAGCAGCAGATTTACTCAAAGCTGACCATTTGATCATTTGAGGTGATCTGAGTTTCTGGTTTTCAAAATCTAGCCATTATTGTTTATTATTGACATGCCTCAAGGCCAATGCTGAATAAAATAAAGAATAAAATTTGATCATTTAGACTTGTAATGGAATTCTGATGCTCACTCTATTAATCTCCAATAACGCCTACAAAATAGAATACTAAATGTGGTAATTAATATCAAAACTCATCACCACTGGGAACCTAACAATTTATTTCATCTCTTTCCCATCACTGAAATCTTTACTGAGTAGATATGAAATAATAATTGATCCCTCCCAAGAATGATGCCTCACTCAGGACAAAGAAAATACGGACACCAAATGTAAATGTTTAATTGCACCACACAGCAAAATCTGTACCACTCTCTGGTTTAAATAACAATAACAGTTATAATAGTTAGCATTTATATAGCACTTTAAGATATGTAAAGTGCTATACATATGTTATATGATTTAAGATCTAAATGCCTATTAAATGTGGTCTATTTCAGATGGCAAATTCCTGGATTTGAAAGATTATGTTCTATTTAATTTTTGTTCTCTCTCTCATTCACACACACACACACACACACACACACACACACACACACACACAAACACACATACATCTTTAATTATTATTATTTAAGATAAAAGGAACAGGAAATTATGTCATTCACCAGCCTCAGGACTATAAATTCTTGGAATTTTTTTCAGTGGCCTGATGAGGTAGGAAAAGAAAGCTATGGTGACCAGATTTAGTGTTTTTAAGTCACACAGCAAGGGTTAAAGTTGAATAATGTGATATCAAACACAAATTGGATCTGCTTTTAGATCATACATTGGATTGAAGATTACAGTTGGAAGAGACCTCAGCTCATTTAGTCTAATCCTCTCATTTTGCAGATGAAGAAACTGAGTCCCAAGAAATAAAGTGACTTGCCAAGATTTCACATGTAGTGACTCCAAATCCAGTGTTCTTTCCTCTATATCACATTACCTCTAACACGTATCTTTTATATGATGGAAATATGTCAGTTCCAGGACTTTCACAAAACTAGCTCAATTTAAAACATCATTTGTAGACAACAAAAATCTTCTGTTTATTTTTAAAAAGACAAATGTAGCTTAAAAGAAAAAGAAAAAAATGCACAAAAAATATTCTCTCAAAAGAAATGCTGGATTAATCCACAAAATCCCAGGTTTCCAGTAGACTTTTGTTAATTGTTAGGTCAATTCAAATTGAGGTTGGGATGGAGGAAGGGCACTGGGAGAAGACTTGACTCAGAGCTACTTAAAGTCAGTTAAGACTGTGCTCTCTTAGAAGCAGAAGAAGCAGAAGAAGCAGCAGCAGCAAGAGGTTCCCTCACTGGGTCTCTTGACTGATGCCTTTCACTACTGCCAGCAATAATTACTTGTGCCTCCAACAAATACAAGCCCAAAATTTGTCCCCATACATCCAGCAAAGCACTGGAACTAAATAGCACAGTCAACATAAAGTCCTGTGAGATTGAGTAATGGGGTTGATGTACTCCCTCTAGGGAGCCTAAGGAGAGGAAAAAAGTAAACCTGGGGAGAAACCATTTGTGAAATCAGCTTTCTGTTGGTGCATCTAAATTACATGTGCTTACCTATCACATCTCCTTGCTCATGAATCATCATTCCTAAATCCTTAAATATTTCATTTATATCCATAATATCAGCCTGATGGGGAAAGAATATAGTAGTTGGTTAGTAGCAGAAACTAAGACCTTCATACCACCCCATTCCTACTATCTTGCCCCACCCCCACAAAATACACATAAACACACATTTTCATATCAGTATATGCTTCAAATCTGTAATAGCATAGATAACTTCAGAGAAGAAGTTACTACTGTACTGAATAATTGAGAAGCCACTCATCATCAGAGCTCATTCTCCTGAGGTATTGGTTTACGGTTTTTATCATGTTGCACGCACCATCCTACTACCTATGATGGAAATTCTTGGGATTCTGTTTAATACCCATTGCTTCCCCTTCTCTATCATTATCTCTATCATTAAGAAGTTTTCCACTTATCTCCAAACTCCTATGCCCTTTGTCTTTATCATTTACAACTGCTACTCTCTGCAAAGAAAAAGAAATCCTTCCCCAGCTTGCTCACATTATGCTCTCAGTCATACACTCAGTTTATTCCTCTCCTCCATTTTCCCCCTTCCATTATGCTCACTAGAACTATTTTATGATAAACTATCTAATATCACAAACTTTGTCCATGAGTTTCACCTCCATGCCTTTTCCTTAAATAAAATCTGGCTTTAAGATAAAAGGAACAGGAAATTATGTCATTCACCAGCCTCAGGACTACAAATTCTTGGGATTTTTTCCAGTGGCCTGATGAGGTAGGAAAAGAAAGCTCCCATCTGGCCACCCCTCTGTCACTGGCACAGTGGCAGAAATATAGCAGTCTCCCTACTCCTTTATCTCTTATACCCTTTTTAGAACTTGTTTTACCACTGTCATCCAAGAACTTTGCTCTCTTTGCAGTCCCTGCCTACTTATATTAACTCTCTTCAAAACCTCACTATCAAATGATCTCCTTGACATACCCATCTCCTACCACTATCCTTACTGACTTCAGCAACTGATGATTAGCCTTTCTCAATGAGGGTACATTTCTGGGACATAATAAAGAACATGACAATTTTTCTGAAATGGAATAACCAGTACCCAATTTGATGACTCACATGGGGATAAGTGATATTGCCAAAAGAAATCTGGAGAGCACTATTAAAGGATTATAAAGTTATGAGGATGAAACCGAGACTACAAGGTCACACAGGTGGTGTTTTCTTCACCACTGCCAAATGAAGATAGAGGCTTCAAAAAGGCACTTTATGAAGGGAACAGCTAGTTAAGAATATGTTGTTTGAGAACAAGATTTGGATTTCCTGACCAGGGTGTGATGCCCTTGGAGTAAAAACAAATAAGTTGAATGATGAGGATGGGGAAAACACAGTCAGATAACAGTTCAAAGGAAAAAGATCTAGGGTTGATTTTTTTGTTTGTTTGTTGGGCATTGTAAGCCCAACACAAATCAATAATGTAAAAAGAGAGCAAAAAAAAAAGTGACGTTCGTCTTCATTTTCAATCATAAAAGCATAGTATCTAGAACAGCAGCTCTCAACCTTTTTGGTTCAGGATACCTTTACACTTTTAAAATTATTGAAGACCCCACAGAGCTTTCGTTAATGTGGGTTATATCTATCCATGTTAACTATATTAATGTAACAACTTCCCTCTGAGATTGTAGTCAATTTACTCTGTGTGTGTGCGTGTGTGTGTGTGTGTGTGTATCAAGGTCCTGATTTGTGTGAATCAATTGTCATATTTTACATAATTATAACTTTGATTAGTGTACATTCAAATATATGCAACCATTTCAGAGGATTCATTGTTTGTACTAATAAGGACGTATAAATATCTTGTTTATACATAGTTATTTGCCTGATTTCTCTTCCATTAGACTATGAGCTCCTTGAAGGCAGAAATTATTTTTTTCTTTTCTTTGTGTCCCTAGTGGTTAGCAGATGGTGGGGGTTAATAAATGCTTTGTGGTCATTGTTGTTGTCGTTGGAGATGCAAAAGCAAATAATCTAGGATATGATCCATGTGGGAATTCCCTCTAAGAACACAGGTTGCTTAGATCCTAGACACACAGAGACTAAGTGACTCATCCAGGGTCACAAAATTAGTATCAACAGTAAGATTTGAATCAAAGTCTTGCTGATTCTAAGACAGATGCTACTATTATGAATTAAGAATAAGGAAATAGGATCTACAAGTATTTTAAATCAAGTGATTTTAAGGTAATTGGTATATTTAAAACATAAAAGTTCATTATAGGATCATCATCATAATAATGATCCTAATAGTTCAGATTTATATAGGTTTACAAAGCATTTTGGGTCTAAGAGGAACCTTACAGATCATCTAATCCCCCTTTGTATTTTACAAGTGAAAAAAATAGAGATGCAGAAGATAAATGATTTGCCCAAATTCAAACTCCGGGAGTGGGGAGGAGGGGAGAGGGGAAGTGGCAGAGATGAGATTTGAGGCCATGTCCTCTAATTCAAAGTCCAGTGCTCTTTCTATTATACTATTCTCTATGTGATATCTTCCATAGCACTTTAGACATTTATTATTAATAAAATTAAGACACTAAAATGTCTTCTGATTTCTTCAGTCATCACAGAGCTATCAAATGTCCCATAGGATAATCCATTCCTTTTTAATTGTTTAAAGTTTCCAAACAAGAATATTTATTTTAGTCCAGTAGAGGGCACCTAAACCCACATACTCCCTTCTTTAAAGGTCCACATCAAATATAAGTTCCTACAGGAAGCTTCTCCTAAGGCAGGGGTGGGGAACCGAGGCCTCAAGGCCACATGTGACCTTCCAGGTCCTTGGGTATGGCCTTTTCACTGAGTCCAGGTTTTACAGAACAAATCCTTTTATTAAGGGGACTGTTCTGTGAAGTTTTGATTCGGTCAAAGGGCTGCACTTGAGGACCCAGAGTGCTACATGTGTCCTTGAGGATACAGTTACCCCACCCCTGTCTTAAGGCCTCTCCCTATCAGATTTTCCCCTTCTCCTTCTTCAAAATTCTCACAGCACTCTCTAGAACTCTCTTCTGTCTATATAATGTTCTACTCCGAATCATGTTTATTTATACAAATGCCTTATTCTCCACTCTGTGCCCCAATTTGTCATTACTTGATAATACATTTTTGGAGAATCAGAGCTATGTAATTTTTCATTTCTACCTTCCTAACATTTGTAGATTCCACCCGAGGCCACTTAGAAATTTTTATATTTTTTTCTACCTAAGTTATATACACATATAAGACACCATTGTATAGAATAATTTGCAGTATGAGGATATATATATACATACACATATACATATACATATACATATATGAAGTAACAGAAGAATTATATAGTTCCAGATTCAAAGTCACCCAGTATAGGTCATATGATACTAGGAACCACCCAGAATCCATAGACTCTCCCTTTGCATGTATTCCCCACAATTATTTTCTTGTGGCTCTAAATCACTAGGGACTACTGTGCTTAGCTGACTAAAGAATATCCAATAACTTGACCCTTGCCTTTTTTTTTCCATAAATGCCCTATGGCCTTGCATCTTTTGTCTAAGTACAGCTTGCTTTTCTAAGAAATACAGTCCATTTCTTCAAAAAGGAATGATTTTAATGTCTATACTTCAAAAGGTGACTTATTTACGTTTTCTCCTGACATAATTTTCTGTCCTTTTCTCTCAACTCACTGTCCATTTTTAAGGCACTAAAACAGCCCTGGGAAGACCTTACTGTAAGTGTACTTGGCTCTTATGGATGAAGAGGACAGCATAGCTTACTTCAAGTTGCCTAATGGAAGATTCTCTCTCTTGAATAAGGCGGAGATCATCTTCTGTAATGTCTTCATCCTGCAGCTGAGCTTGGGGTTGGGTGTGACTAGAGAAAGAGGGAGGGAAAACACAGGTTGGGTTTAGGGGGAAAAAAAAAAAAAACTAATTAGACTCATATTTTATGTATGAAGATTTGATGGTTTAGAATTGCTTATGTGAAAGTTTTCTCAACATAATGTAAACATTAAACATGCCAAATTAATCTTTCCACTGACAACATGTTATGCTGTTTCAATCCATATTGATCTTAGTCTCATTTTTACTATTCTAAGAAGTATATTTGAAAACTGAATATTTCTTCTGATTTAATTCATTGTAGATCTAATATTTTTTTAATTTAAAAACAAAACAAGACCAGTTACAAATTGTCAACGATAATTTACTTTGACCTTACAAATTTCCACTAAACCAAAATACTTTTCATTCAAGTGTTTTTGTTTTTGGTTTTTTTTTTTTTTGGCTAGTCAATGGGGTTAAGTGACTTGCCCAGGGTCACACAGTTAGTAAGTGTTATGTATCTGAGGCCGGATTTGAACTCAGGTCTTCCTGAATCCACTGTGCCACCTAGCTGCCCCCATCCAAGTGTTTTAAAGATGACAATTGTTCTGAAATTTTTTTCTTTAAGGAATTAATGTTCAACACTTGTCTTCAAATTTATTATCATTTTTGTAAGATGTTACATTCAAAGTTTTAATTTTGGCTCAGAGGGTTTCTTTTCACTACAACAGTTACAAATTTGAACATATCTTTTAATTAACATAATGGCAGGGCTCTCATTTACCTTTCCCAAGACACAAGATTCCCATCTTTAGAACTATCTTCAGGAAAACCACCCTGTGTGATTTAATGATAACATGGAATGTGAAGGGGAAAAAGGAGAAGAAAAAAAGAGAAGAGGGAAGAAAAAGTTATAATTCTCTTGATAAAATTATGAAAGTTACTGTAAACAGATACTTAGCATATGGTGTTATAAAACAGAATTTGTTTTAAATTTGCCATGCTATTAGAAGAAACACAAAAAACTTAACTTAGCAATGTATTCATAACATATGCTATGTAGAACAAATGATAAATACTAATCTGCTAAATATAGAGTACTCCCTTGAAACCATTATCATCATTGGTAATATTAGTTCTATTTCTTTTTAAGGTAATTTAAAATCAGTTTAACTCTGAAATGTTTGTAGTTTTATTTTGGATTCCCAATCTATCAAAAACATTCTTCACAATTATATTAATTTCATTTGTATCTATGTAACATCTTTGCTCAATTTACTTGAAAACTTTTCATAATAATCACATCAGAGTGGCAGAATCCACAAAAAGACAGAACGAAACAACTTTTCAGCGCAGGACAACTTATAAAGTTGGCAGGAAAGGTCTGTTGCACCAGGGTGAAAGTAGGAACAGAGTCCAGAGCAGGCCATGCCAGCACAGACTGGGACCCAGCAAACCATGAGTGGGCCCAGGGGTGACTGAATCAGTGGGAGCAGTGGCAGTTTCCAGACCTCCCACAGATGGTAAAGGGATCGATCAATGGGTCAGAAGGAGATTTACAGGGGTTCCTTCACTGGCACCAGGGGCAGCACTCTATTGCGTTGCCTATTCTTGGATCTGGGTTGCGGTCGTGGGTTTTAGTCCCAGTGCAAGGTGGAGCCCTAGCAGAGCAGATCTTGCAGCCCCAAGGAAGCAGGGACCCTGGTCACAGTTCAAGGATTGAAAAGAATGCTTGTGGTCGCTCACAAACCAGTACACAGTACAGGAGAGAAGTAAACACACCTCTCCCTAGATCAGACCACCTTGGAAGAGCCAACAACTTACAGGTCCCCAGAATTACCTCGGAAGACAGCTGCACAAAAAACCTGAAGCTTGGGATAGTGCCCCCTCCACTTGGGAAGCACAGCCCTCACTTTAGCATAGAGTTAAAAGTTAGGAAATAGGCTGTAAAATGAGCAAACAACAGAAAAAAAAATTGTCCATGGAAAGTTACTACGGTCACAACGAAGGTCAAAACACACACTCAGAAAAAGACAATAAAGTCAAAATTTCTGCATCCAAAACCTCAAAGAATAATAATCACACAACCAGATAGGCAGATATTAGCATCATTGGCTACATGCAGAAAACTTCACTGTGAAATTCAAGTTTTGGGTTGTATGATCTCCAAGAAGGAGGTGCTCCATGAAGGGCAGGCTATTTGAAGAATTCTAAAGTGTACTGACACAGGAACAGACATAATAATTATAAAATGCATTCTATTCTCTTGATTCTATAATTAGGTCAGAAAGAGGTAAAAATAAAGGAAGATGAAAGGCTTCTGCTTTCAGGATATACTTAGTCCACATGCTTCAGAATTTGACAACTTGCCAAAGAATGGATTCACCAAAATCTTCACTGTGCATATGGCAGGCACTCAACAAAATTTTTCTGAACAAATGAATATTTTTGTCAAACACAAAATGATTAAGAACTGATATACACACTGTCTAATCCCTAGAAAGGATTATGATATTTTTATTCTAACCATGAATTTTCAGATACTTACAGAGACCCTGGAACTGGCTCGTACTCTGGCAACAAAATCTTTCTCTTTTTCTGCAGCTTGTCTTTGGACCTTCTGGAAGTTTGTTAGTGAAGTTGTAAATTCAGCAACTAGGCGATCTTTCTGTATTTTCCTTTGACGCTGAAGAAAAAAAAATAGGTTTACTAGAATTAAGCTGTCCAATCTACAAGATGTGCTAACATTTTGTTTTGTTTCATTTTTCACTATTTCCATGTTCATAATTAGTCACCTAATGAAGTCACTTTCCATTGGCAAAATACAAAGTAATTCTTAAGAGCGACAGGTCATTGTTTAGCTTTGAAATGTCCCCAGCACCTAGCATATTACTTTGTATGAACTAAGAATTTAGTAACTGTTGAATGAAGAAATGAATGAATGGTTTTTATTAGCATCCTCATGTGCAATGCATTTCCGGGTTGCTGGATTTCTTGCCCGATGCTTACTATGCAGCTAGGTATAACACTGGATAGAGTGCTGGGCCTAGAACCAGGAAGACATAAGTTCAAATCTGGCCTCAGACACTTACTAGAGTGTGACCTTGCATAAGTCATTTAATCTGTTTGCCTCAGTTTCCTCAACTGTAAAACAGTGATAACAATGGCAAGGTTGTTGCTAGGATCCAATGAAATAATATTTATATAAATGCTTAGCACAGTGTCTGGCACACAGTAGGCACTCTATAAATGTTTATTCCCTTCTCCTTCCCTAGGCAGCACAATGGATAGAGCTCTAGACTTGGAGTCAGGAAGATTTGAGTTCAAATTTTGCTTCAGACACTTATTAGCCATTTTTTCCTGGGCAAATTACTTACTCTGAGGTCTCAGTTTCCTCATCTGGAAAATGAGAATAATAATTGCATCTACTTCACAGATTTATTGTGAGGATCAAATGAGATGACTTGTAAAACTCCAAACTTAAATGTTCTAGGCAAAGCTAGTTGTGGTTAATTTTTGACTACTACAAAATTGTTTAAGCACCTTTTTCTTCAAGAGAAACACTCAATAAACTTATCTTGGTGACACCTTCCAAACTCCACATTATATAGACAAAAGAATATAGAAAAAGAAAAGAATACTCTAATCTTGAATAACAAAGTGTTTGGAGAACCAGGAAAGGAAGCATCATGCATATGGTTAATTATGGATTAAGGCTACTGCTTAGAAATATTTTTTTTTCCTTTGTGAACTAACCTGCAACAACACTTAAAAAAAATGGTGGCCAATATACTATTAAAATAGATCACAATACAATTTAATAATTTATTTTATTGTAAGCACATTACCAACATGTCTAAAAGTTTGATACCTGTTCACTTGGAGTGGTGGGCAGAGATCCAAACTCTTTTATGTACTTATCTGTTTCTTTAGCAAGTTGGTTTGTATACTGTTGCTTCTGTTGCCTAGCGAGAAAACAAAAGTATTATAGCTAAAAAGTTCAGGAATACATTTAAGTCAACAACTCTGCTGCCCAAACCAACTCCAATTAATGGTTTTCTACAGAAGAACTGTTTAAAGATGGTCCTAAAATATTGCAGAAAAACATCCTACCAGGTCTATTATATCATAAGCACTGAGTGGCTAGTCTGCTTATGGTTATTAATCACTGAAAGGTGGAAATAAAAACTGGTTAGTAACCTGAGGACCATAGAACATCAGAGTTGTCAGGAGCCTCTGAGTTCACCTAGACCAGTTCTGCCATTTTACAGATAAAAAAAAACTAAAGGTCAGGTAGGACAAGTGACTTAACAGAGTACCAGCATCTCAAAGCCTAGACTAAAGCTAGGCCTCATGACTCATAGTCCAGTTTTCTTTTTCCTACATGATTTTTAGAGGAATTTTCTAAGTTTTAATTTTATTTTTGTAATATTTGCTAATAACAAAGATTGCACTAATATTATTTGTATGTAGACATTGATAAAAGCAAAATATAACTTGTAAGTAGATGAGAACTCAGAAAAAGAACATATGGAGCTGAGGATTGGGTGTTCAAAGTGCACATTTAAGTAACTTTTTGGACTGTACCTTCTTCTTGTATCTGGCCAACAGTTCCTAATCTTTGACTTCACAGTTTAATTTGCCAGAATGAAAACATTCAGGAAGTTTACTTAATTTCTAAAGACTAAATTATTTTGAATTGGACTATAGTGATAATGGAAACCATTGTTGTACTCATGGACTCAATGTTATAACTTTCTCTGCATTTCTAAAGATTAAATTATTTCAGTTAAGACTGGCTCAAATAGAAACCATAATGATACTAGAAAATTCAAAATTATGAGATTCATGGGTGCCCAGTAATTTTACAATATGTTTATGGACTGAGCAGCTGTCCATGGTGCCAGGGAGGTATTCCAGTTGGCTATAACTGGGTACTTGGTGGTAATAATGATAATTGACAAATATATTTTAAAGTTTCTAAAAAGTTTATATGCATTGTCTCAATAAACCTGAGGGAGGCAGTACTATTAATATTATCCCCATTAAACAGATGAATAAACTGAGGTTCAAAGAGTCTAAATGACTTGCTCATGTCCCACAGAGAGTATCAAAGGAAGGATTTGAATACAGGTATTTCTGACTCTAGGGCAGCTAGGTGACACAATGGATAGAATGCAGAGCCTGGAGTCAGGAAGATCTAAGTTCAAATCCAGCTTCAAATACTTACTAGCAGTGTGTTCCTGGGCAAGGCACTTAACCCTGTTTGCCTCAGAGTTCTCATCTATAAAATTATCTGGAAAAGGAAATGGCAAACTGATCCAGTGTCTTTGCCAAGAAAACCCCAAATGGGGTCATGAAGAGTTAGACATGACTGAAATCACTCAACAACAACAACAACAACAACTTCCTGACTCCTGGTCTAACAGGTATAGCATATTGCTTCATACTTCTCAGAAGTGGCTATCCAGCTTTTATTTAAAAACCTCCAGTGAGAGTGAAACTACTATTTCCAGGGCAACCCACTTTTATGCAGCTCTGTTAGTAAGTTTTTCTTTACATGGAACTAAAATCTTTTTCTCCAAACTTCTACCACCTAATTGTTTCTTCTTCTGTATTCTGGGGTCAAGAACCCTTTTTCCATAGATAGTTCTTTAAATACCTATGGAGAGCTATCATATCCCACCTTAATTTTTTCATGTCTATTCTTCAACTAAAGAATGCCCCATTCCTTAAATTATTAAAGGTGGAATAATCTCAAAGCAATTCACTCCTTAGATTATCAACTTTTTTCCCCCTAAATGTAATATCCAGAATGGAACATTGCACAGCAAATGTAATCTGACCACAGCACAGTCTGTATCACCTTCCCTTACCTTCCTGGATACTATTCCTCTCAATGCAGCCTAATGTAAGGTACTTTCTTTTTAAGGTATTGCCTTTTTCATATGGAATAGTTTAGTGCTAAAGGGGGTAGAAAAAGTGTTATATTAATTGCTAAAGTAGATATGTCTCTGTCATTGCTGAATATTTTGATATCTCAAAGGAGAAGGAAAAGAATTTATTTAATAAAAACTGTGAAAATAGATATATGAAGAAAGTATTCAGATATAATTTAAGCAGTTTTAGAAGAAAATTAACTGTGGTATAAAGATAAAGACTTAAATTGCCTTGTGAAGAATGTAAGTAAGGTTATGACTAATATTATGATTCAGGATAACAGTGAAACTAGGGACTACAGTGAACTCATTCCCCCTCCATACATACTCTACCAACACTAGTCAGGGCAGTTATAAGCAAACAAGTGTTGGTGCATATATATGGCAACTGGGGTTAACTTTGCTCCCAGATAGATTGATCTGAGACCTAATTCTGGACCAGATAGACAAAGGGAGTATAAAGGTAGTTTTTGAAACATTGGCTGGGAGCACCTGAGACCCCAGGGAACCTCCTTGTTGATTGAGATATTATCAAATGCTTTACTGAAGTCTAGGTATAGCGTTCCTCTGATCTTCCAATCTAATACTCTCATCAATGGTATGGGGTTGGTCTGGCCTACCTTGTTTTTGAAAAAGACCTAACATCTTCTCTAGAGATTGATTAGTCGCTTCTTTAAGAATATACTCTAAACGTTTTTGAGAAATTGAGTTAACAAACAAATAATTAATTAAGCACCTACTGTGTGCCAGATATTGTGCTAGACACTGGGGATACAAATACAATGAATACAACAATGCCTACTCCCAGGGAACTTACATTCTAATGAGGGAAACAAATACACACACACATAATAAAGAGAATAAATACTGTCAGTCAGTCAACAGCTATTTATTAAACATCTACAGTTCCAGGCACTGTGCTAAGTGCCAGGGATACCAAAAAAAAAAAAAAAAAAAAGTAGAAGACAGCCCCTGTTCTCAAGGAGCTCAAAGACTAATGGGGAAACAACATTCAAAGAAGATATATGCAAGATACATTGGGGGTAATCAACACAGGGAAGACACTATCAGGAAAGGATATAAAAAAAAAATTAGCAGCTGAAGGGAACAGGAAATGTTTTATGTAGAAGGTGGTGCTGAAGTTATATCTTGATGGAAGAGAGAGATTTTATGAGGCAAAGGCAAAGAGGAAATACATTCCAGGCATGAGAGACAGTTCAGTGAATGAAAAGTCAAAAGAAAGGAGATGGAGTATTGCGTGTAAGGAATAGAGAAAAGGCTAATCTGACCAGATTGCAAAATGGCAGAGGTTGGACAGGGGAGTAATTCTAATGAGACTATATAGATAGGTTGGGGTCAGGTTGTACAGGGCTTTAAAAAGCTAAACAGAGGAATTTATTCTATTTTATCCTAGAGTAAATAGGGAGACCCTTGAGTTTATTGAGCAGAGAAATGAGATGGCTAAAACTGCCAAAGGAAATTCACTTTGGCAGTATTTTGTCAAAGGTGGACTGGAGTAGGTAGAGGAGAGACAGAGAGACCAATTAGGAGACCACTGCAATAATCTAGATGAGAGAAGAAGAAGACTGAAACCAAGGTGATAGCTGTGTGAGTAGAGAAAAGGGGTTTGATGTGACAGATATTGTGGAGCTAGAAATAGCAAGATTTAGCTACTGATTGGATAGTCAGGGTGAGCGAGAGGAAGAGGTTGAGCATAATATAATGCCAAGGCTAAAAACCTGGGAGAATGGTCAGAAACAGGGAAATTTAGGAAGGTGGGTTTGACTAGATAACTTGAGGTCATCAAGGAGAATCTAGGCCTGTCTCAGTTTCTATCAGCCCTTTTTGTTCTGTCATTTACTGGGAAAAAGAGTCTTTTTTCTTGGCAAAGAAACTAGATGGCACAGCAAATAAAGTGATGAACTTGGAGTCAAGAAGAACTAAATTCAAATCTGGCCTAGCTATGAGGTCATTTAAATTCTCTGTGCCTCAGTTTCCTCATCTGTAAAACAGGCACAATAATAGCACTTTCCTTCCAGGGTTGTTGTGAAGATCAAATGAGTTAAATGGATAATGCTTTGTAAAGCTTAAAGGGGGAGATAGATACATAGATAAATGATAGATACAGATAGAGTGCCATAATAAAAAGAAACAAACTATGAGTTGAGTAGCTCTTCCTTCTCTTAGTCATTTGTTTTTGACACACCCACCCTGAGCAGTGGTCCTTTCACTCTCTTGTTTTCCCCAAAATAGCTTTCTAAAAATACCTTTTGGTCCTCAGGTATCCTTACCAGCTACAGCCTCATTCTTGGCTTTTACTAAACCTACTACTATTATCATAGGACCAATTCACACTTTTGTATGACTGAACTATTGCTTCCATTTTCTGAGTATGTCCTTAAAAATTACCTAAGATGATTGAAGATTTCCCAGTGAATCTTCACCAATCTCTTTAGACTAATTTTTCATTTCTTCTTTCCCTTTGAGTCTTCAGACCCTCATTCTTGTGGTTTCTCATTCTTCCCAGACTAATGTCCCTGGCAAAAATTCAGCACAAGGACCATACCTTTTCTATATTTGAACATTTTGAAATCTGATCTTCCATAATCTAGGGTGCACGTAACTATACTATATTTGTTAATATTGTATCTGTATATATTCTCTTTTCTATAGCCCAAATTCTAAAGTGGAATGGTCTCTTTCCTCACCTATATTATCATTAACATCACCCCTAATAATCATTTCCTGATTGCTGAGAATCAAACCCAGAATACAATTACTCCTAGTAGATAATCTTCTATCTTTTGAGGGATAAAAGAATCATTAAGGAAAGTCAAGTAATTATTAGCTATTCTGTTGTTGGTAATGAGAGCTCCAGTAAACGTACAGCTAACTGAAGTCCACCATCACTATCTATCATGCCTCTCTGTTGGGTTTGTGATCTGTTTCCCAAACTCACCTACTTTTTTCCTGTCAAGATGTATCTGTGTACAGACAAATGAGTCCATGGGATTTATTGAATTTCTTGGAATTTTACTTCTATGAATTTCTGGAAATCATTAATGAAATTCTCCCTATAGCTTTCTCCTTCCTCCTTCTTTTTCAGTTTAGAAACTTTTTGATTAAATTTCAAGGCCCCAGGATAAAAATTCTTGGGAAAGATTTCCACTCATTGTCACATTTATAACTAAACACAAGACAGGTGACTGATGAGTTTCTACATGAAAATGTCAATCAACTTGCTGAAGTTTGTTAGCATTTCCTAATCATGCCAAGAAAGTCCAACAGGAAAAAAAGATGAAAATTGCTTACACAACTTCTAAGAAGCATACAATCAAATACTTCTCATCACTTGAATACATTTTACTTGTGTGGTATTCCAGCACCTTACAACTAGATGGTGGATTTTTTTGATCTAGCCCCAAATAATGCTTTAGACAGTAGATGTGAATGCATTTTTAATTAATTGGAATATATGTTCAATGTGAGTAAACCTAAAAGAACTGCTGGTCTAATATTAGTGTTTTCAATAGAATTAATTGTATGTAGAACACTAATTTTCTGATTGAGATAGAACATAGGGAATTTATTCTGTACGTACTCATGCATAATTGTTATGTCCCTCATTAGAATGTAAGTTTTTATGAGTAGGGATTATCTCATTCATTGCATTTTTATCCCTAGTGCCTGACATAGTTCTAGACACCGTTCATATTAAAATTCCTGATATAATTGAAAAATTATAAGAAAACCTTCTCTCTCTAGTGATAGTGGTAGAATATAATTGGATTTGGAGTTGGAAGATTTTGGTTACAATCTTGGTTTTGATACTTATTACCTTTGTTACATTGGACAAGGCATTTGATCTTGCTCAGTTCCCTCATCTGTAAAATGCAGGAACTGGCCTGGATGATCTTTATATGTCCCTTCCATCTTTAAACCTATACACAAGAGGTTCGTAGATATGAATAGAATGGAAGGAGTAAAGTCTAATCCTGATTTAAATTCTGATTTCATCTTTAATTTTTTTTAAAGTTACAAAATTGCAAAAAACCTATAACTTATTAAAGATTTCTTGGAGATCAATTCTAAACGTTCAAGATTTCAATTCCTTATTAACTTCATTGAAACAACTTTAACCAAAAAATTCATCACTCCTATTAAATTTTACTTTGTTTTCCTGTTGTTGTTCAGTTGTTTCAATTGTGTCTGACTCTTTATGACCCCATTTGGGTTTTTCTTTGCAAAGATAATGGAGTAGTTTGCTATTTCCTTCTCCAGCTCATTTTACAGATAACAAAACTGAGGCAAACAGGGTTAAATGACTTGACTAGAGTCACACAACCAGTAAGTATCAGAGGCTGGATTTGAACTCAGTTCTTCCTGACTCCAGGCCCAGTGTTTCATCCACAGCACTACCTAGCTGCCCCTTGTTTTCATAAGCTCTCCTCTAAAACTTCAAATTCAAACTTTCCTTACACTCTTTCTTTTTATTGCCTCCAGCTGTTTGAAACTTCACCTCAAAATATCTCTGTGTCTACTGTGAATATATTTTGTATTTAATTTTCAACATATATGCTGTTTTCTCTCAACAAAGTTTAAGTTCCTTTTGGACAAGAATTTTTTTTTTTAAATTGTAATCCCAGCACCTAATATGGTCCCTGGCACAACCACTTCCTACTAAATACTTAAGATGGTGGGATTGAAACAGGTGACATTCAAATTGTCAAGCCATACTTGGCCCTATCGTTTATCCTTTCCTTTTTCTCTGCCCTATAGATCTTACCTCTTTGCCTCTATGTTGGCTATGAAATGCTAAATTATCTACTTAAGATTGTCATTCCTCTGAAAAATCATTTCTAAAATTATTTGAACTCCATAAAATCTTATTAGAATCACAGAACATCACAACTGGGAGGGAACATAGAGGTTCAGTATTTCATTTTACAAATAAAAAAACTGAGGCCAGAGTAGGGAAGTGATTTAACCATGGGAGTTATCAAGAGAGAAAAGGAACAAGTATCTTGACTCCCAGACTTGGACTCCATGCATCAATCAATGAATAAGTATCTGTTAAGTGCCTAATATATGTCCACTGGGGATAAAATTACAATGAAGGACATAATCTCTACTCATAAGAATCTTACATTTGTTATGTTTAAAAATTAAGGTAAACTGAGGCAACAAAGTCCAGGGCATGTTCATTTTATTGGTGAGACTAGTGACCAATAATAAAAATGAACTAGGCACAAGCCAAGACCACAAGATGGGGCTTAATAGGCTTCATATAATTTTTGAAAACACAAGGGAACAAAGAACAGGAAGCCACAGATGGCAAACAATATGATTGGTTACAAAGTCTGAAATGTCATAGATGATGTAAAACAATATGATTGGACAGCAGTCTGGAATGTAGGGCTAGAAATAACGCTTCCTTCCATCTTGTTATGGAAAGCTCACTGGTGGTGTCCACCCGCACGGTTAATGTCCTAGTGATAACAGACCATGTTTTCTTGAAGGACAGTCATCCATCTACGTTACAGAGATAATAGACCAGACTCCCTGGCATCCACTTGTACCCTTCGAGGATAATAGATTTCTTTTAGTTGTACAAGGGCAGTTAGTGGTACAGAGATAATGATTTTCTTTCCATTAAAATTATTTATAGGAAAACAACTTTTAAAACTTAATTCAAGAGAGGAAAACAACTTCTGGACTCATAAACTTCTGAACTTAACTCAGAGACAAAAAAACACAGCTCAGTCAGTTACAGAATAGAACCAATTACAGAATAGAATCAAATATAAAATATAAATTCAATGTTTGATTTTCTCACATTTTAATATAGAAGATGATAAGTATGTATGTAAATATATACAGAATAAATCCCCAATAATCTATCTCCAATAATGTTCTATATATAATTCACTCTCTTGAAAACACTAATAATATTAAACCATAAGTTCTCTTCGGAGTATTCACATTTAATGCATTTCCAACTAATTAAAAATTTGGTGACTTCTAATATCAAAAGCAACATTTTGGGCCAGAGCAAACCCACCATGTAGTTTTAAGGTGGTGTAGTATCACAATAATAAAATGTATGAAGGTGGCAAGAAACATTTGCAGATGTAATTAATGAGATGGTCACCAGCTGTCCCCTACCTCTTTTTAGATATGAAGAGGGTAGACAAAGGGAGCCATTTACTCCCATTATCCACTGAGTGATGCCATTTGATCTTTAGATCCTTTCCCAGAATCTAATGTCTCCCCCATCAAGTCTATAGCACCCTACTTGTAGGGTAGAGAGAGTCCGTCAGCCCCTTCAGGCATAATGGGCTTCTCTGGAACCTACCAGAAGTCTTCTAGATGGTTCTTCAAAGCAGTCTCAGAACCAGATGAGAACTTGCCCTGGAGATGCCCAAAGATGCCTGTGGTTCTACTATAAGAGCCTGAAACTACCTGTTTCAAAAGCAAAGGCCCACTAAGGTCCATGGGTATCACAACCATTTGTTTAAAAGACTGTTTATCCTAAAACATTTCGCAAATATACACTTTGTAACCAATTTTGGAATGATAAAATTTTAAAAAGAGCAATGATGGATTTTAATGGAAAAGCTTAAGTTTCATTTCATATATACTTCTTACACTGCAAATAACACACTATATTGCAAATAACACAGAAATGGATTTCTTTGGTTGTGGGGGCAAAAAAAAAAAACCACTTACAGTTGTTGCCTCAATTCTGGTGAGTCTTGAGGTGTTCCAAGTTGATTCAAAGACCTTTGTATCTCCGCAGCTACCAGAAAGAATAAGGAAAAAAATCCAAGTCAATAAATTATTTTATGTAGAATATTGCTTTATTGTAGCAACAAAAAGATTTTTGTATAATTGCTTTCAAAGTATCATATTGTAGTAATCAAACAAATGACACAGTGAGCCATGTGAAAGTCAAATAAATGCAGGTCATGTTGTACCATGAATTCTTTTTCAGTGAGGTCTCCATTTTTGCAAATAGTCCAGCTGCTAGCTAAGAAACGTTACTTCAGATTCACCTGAATCAAAACTATTTTTATTAGAATTTTTAATACGTGCAATTTAGTTATGAACTAAATCTCAGAAGGCAAGTTTTATGCCCGAATCATTAAGCAGAGCTAATTTTCCATTAATCCTAGAGTTGTAAGCAACTTTGGAATTTTTGGAGTCCAATCTCCTACTCAACTCCCCATCTAATCCCTCTGACTACCACCTAATTCCACTTTCTTCAATCTTTTGGGACCTAGTTATGATACATATATATTTTCTATCTCTCTCTCTAACATGCACAACAACTTCACTCTCTGTTTCTACCATTTCCTTCCTATGTTCTTATACATATACTCCTTCCTAGGACTGGGGGGGGGGGGGGGGGGGGATTTATTCAACCATTCTATGATATCAATTGGCTGCCCCACCTCTTTGTTTCTATTTGGTGCTTCCACATCCATACCATTCATTTAACAGTTTGACTTCCAGCCCCCTCCCTTACCCAACTGAACTTATTTTCTCAAAGATTACCAATGATTTCTTTGTTAGTAAATTGATAGTCTTTTCATAGTGACCCCTCTTGCATCATTAAATACTATTGAACATCTCTTTTCCCTCAATGATCTTTTCCTTAGTTTCTGTGACTATAAACTACCAGCTCTCATTCTACTGCTTCCAGTTATCCCTTTTTTCTCCTGTTCATTGGCGCCTCTTCCTGATTCCTTATGTCAGGTGTTCAAGGCTCTATCCTAAACCCTTTCCTCTTCTCTCCTTTTTTTTTCCCCTAATCTTATTCACTAACTGCTTCAACCACTAGCAGTGCCTCAAATTTGACATCTGCACAATGCAGATCTAATTGTTAATTCCGCCCCCTCCCCTCTTTCTTCAAGCCTAAATCTGACTTTCTAGAGAGAATGAATCCTCTTGCACCAAACAGAATGAATCTGATCCCTTTAATGCATGACAGCCTGTCAGGTACTTAAAAATAGATATCATCCTAGCTCTACCACTTACCTGATATGTGACCTGGACTTTACCTCTCTAAGCCACAATTTCTATATCCACAAACTAAAGCAATATGACAGAGTAGAAAGAACACTGGATCAGAGGTTGTAGGTTCAAATCCCAGCTTTTCTACTTACTAGATATTTGACCTTGGGCAAATCACCACCATCCCTTCACACTCTCTCCATCTGATTTGGCCCCAGATAGAAATATTCCTAGCTACTGCTCCACTGCCCTAATACTTCATTTCATTATCAGCAGATTCACTGAGATTACAATACTTCACAAATAGTGAACAAACAATGAGGAAAGCAGGTTTTATTCTTCCCAGCCTTCCTCATCTCTATCACAGCTAGAGTCCATTGCCCTATTTTTGTGTTGTTCAATCATTTCAGTTGTGTATGACTCTGTGATCCTACATGGCATTTTCTTGGCAAAGATACTGGTATGATTTGCCATTTCCTTCTCCAGTTCATTTGACACATGAGGAAATTGAGGTAAACAAGGTTAAGTGACTTGCTCAGGGTCACACAGCTAGTAAGTGTCTGAGGCCAAATTTGAACTCAGGATTTCTTGACTCCAGGCCCAACACTGGATCTGCTGTACCACCTAGCTGCCTCTGCCCTATTTTACTAATTATTTTTTTTTAATCCAGCCAGTAGGTTGCAGAAGCTGTACAAAACAGGTTCGAAAGCTGCCAGTGCTCTTCCATTTATTAGCTGTGTGGCTAGTCCCTTAACCTCAGTTTCTTCATCTCTAAAATTGGGATAATAATACTTGTGCTGCCTCATAGGGCTGTTGGAGAATCATGTAAAAAATCGTGAGCTATAAATATGTTCTATCACTTAGGCTCGGATAAGCCAGAGAGATGAAATTCTGTCAATTTTGCTATTTTTTAGTGTCTTGGTTCATCTTTGTTATAAGGAAAGAGTTTAAAACTACTGGGTAAAAGATCTTCAGGTCATTGTGGATTCAATTTCTTTGTTACACCTCTGTCCTAACAGAAATCTAAAGATGGCAGATCGGAATTATGAAGGTTCAGACATATTTCTAAGTTTTTTTTTCATCTTCTTCACATTTTTTTTTTTTTTTGCTTAGATAGAACTTAAAATAGACATTACTGGGCAGTGATGTAGAACTTATGGTAATGGGAAATTGGAATAGAAATGTTTACAGTTGAGGCGAATAGTGCAATGCTTCCATAATTAATACCAAGATTATAAAATATGTAAATAAGTCAGTCCTACAAAGAGTAGTTACAGGATAGCAATTTTGCTTTTAATGCTTGTTTGCATCCTGTGTCTTACAACGAAAGCTAAACAGAGTAAGAGAATTTAAGTTAAAAATATCACTATGCTTAGGTATGCTTAGGTACCTAGAGCTTATAACAGCTTAATCAAAGACAGTCAGCTCTCCAGTAAAGGGCAAGCCCTCCAGTTTTATATGTGCATGATTAAAACGTCAAGTGGAAATAAGTTGTTAAAACCATCTTCAAAGTAGTGAGGTTTCACTCATTTCTAAGAAAAAAAAATCCTGTACCCCTTTTTCCTTTAAAATGAGTGATTTATTTATAATAGTCATCATCTATTTGCTCATTTATAGGATAGAGGGAATGGTGATATTCTAATTCCCAAGGCAATTTTGGAAATTATTCTACAAATCACATTTCATTTCTTTATTGGCAAAAGAAGATGATGCAATGAGTTCTGTTTCCAAGCAAAGATTGAAAACTATGACTACTGGCAGAAAACACACACACACACACACACAGAAAGAGAGAGAGAGAGCTCATAGTAACTATTTCTATTTTGCTAGTTTCAAAAGAATTTCAGGCTGCCTTTTACAGTTGGTTTTTCTTTCCCTCTCTGAACACAGGGAAGAATTTTCTATTTTTGATCTGTTTTCCCTTTAAGGGTATTTCCTTATGACCCTAACATATATTTTTTTATCTTCTGAAAGATTGGAAATCTACTATGCAAAAAGGTACTTTGCCATATATACAATTAAGGGCTATACTAGTACTGTACAGATACCACGCCATACCATTTCAAGATCCTAGATGGAAGTTGGATGAGCTAGTCTTTCATCCCAACATTATTCTTTTTTCTTCTTGGAGCACTGGCTTATAAAATTATCATTATTCACAGACAAAATAAAAACTGTATATAATTTTTTCCAGGAAAAAAAAGGTCAAAAACAGTAAAGGCTAACACTTACATAGCACTTCAAAGCTTGCAAAGTATTTAACAGAACTACTTAAAAAAGATGTGATGTTTCCTTTGCCACCTCAATCTTTATTTGTTTCTTCTTGTTAACCAAAGAACAAAAGAGTTCTGTGCAAGTATATTGGTCAAATCAATTCAACATTTATTTTGTTTTGTTTTGTTTTGTTTTGGCTAGGCAATGGGGTTAAGTGACTTGCCCAGGGTCACACAGCTAGTAAGTGTTATGTGTCTGAGGCCAGATTTAAACTCAGGTCCTCCTGATTTCAAGGCCGGTGCTCTATCCACTGCGCCACCTACTGCCCCTTACTTCAACATTTATTAAATGGCTACTAGGGCAGCAAGGTGACACATAGATAGAGTACTAAGCCTAGAATCAGAAAATCTCATTTTGACCATAAAAAGCTACCAGAGCTACAGAGAGCACTTGTTTCTGATACAAACTGTGTTACCCGGGGCAAATCACTTAACCTCTAAGTATGCCACACAATTAACTTTTTAAGCTTATAAGGTAAAGAATACTTGCAGATATGCTTTGGTTAAAATGAGTTTCCTCATCTGAAGTTGCCTACACTGGTGAAATCACAGGCCCAGGAAAAATAAATAGAAAATTATAAATAAATATACTTTAATAAAGCATGCAGAAATAATTTAACAATTGTTATGGATAAGCGATTTATAAATATATTTCATAGATACATGATTATATGGTTATTATAACAATTTACAAATAATTATACAAATACAAATAAATAGAATTTAATAAGTAAGACCTCTTGGTAGCAAAAATTTGCCACAGATCAGCACTTAACAATAGATTGGTAGATAAAAGAATTGGTCTATGGAAAGAACACTGAAATTGGAATCAGAGGATGGTTCAAGATGCAGTTCTGACACTTACTAGCCATGTGAGCATGAGACAGTTATGATTTCTCTAAGCCCTGGCTTACTCATCTATAAAATGGAGATAATAACATATGCACTTCCTACCTCACTGGATTGTTGTGAAAAAAGATATTTTGTAAACTTTGAAATACTATATAAACATAAGATATTATGAATTCCAGAACAGACTTATTCAAAGTATTAGTGAAAATTCTAATGAAATCTAAGAAAATCCAAATTTGTAAATAAAAAAAAAACTATTTATTCATATGGCAACAAGCATTCTTGACCTTACAAGATTCACCACTGGATTCTTTTAATTAGCAAGCTCTTCAAAGCATTTATTTAATCCTTCTCCACAAAAATTAGGACAACAAATCTAACTTTTATGTCAATATTTTGAACCAGTCATATCATTACTTCCTTTCCATTAGTAATTTTAAGTATTTTTAAGAATTTGTTTTATAAATGGAATCACTAAAAGAATATTTTTATAATCACAAAGTAATTCCAGTATTTGCTACATAATTTTTTTAAGCCAACCTTATCTATAAGACAGGAATCTCAACCTGAGATTCACAGATCCCTAACCTGTATCCACGTAAAGATTTTTCAGGAATTGGTGAATTTAAATCAGAAAAAATACATCTTTATTTCAACA